TTTATAGTATTTATAGGTATATACAGTTCAAGCAGTTTTATGTTAAAGTTGATGTTGCATTGAAAAACTGGAAAAGTCACGAGTCCCTCTCTTTTTTCACTTTGACATCTCCTGCAAGAATGGTTGCAATCTCCCCTTGCATGAAGGCCCATGGGACATTGGAACCCACTAGGGGGCACTTCTCCCCACTAGGACAATACACCTCACCATTAGCTCCTTGCTGTTTGATGCTCTGTCTGGAGCAAGGGAAGCAAAACTTATGAGATGGAACGGAGGGACACTGCACAAAGTGGGTGTCTTCCAAACGCTCGTGACACAGCGTGCAGCAGAGGGGGACGCTTGCTGCCAGAGAAGAGTCTGGGAGGCTGACAGGGTGCACTGGTTCCATCCCTCCAGGATTTGCCCCTTGGCTTGGCACTTCCCTGGCCAGCCTTCTTTGGTTCATAGGGGATGGAGAAGGGGGGCTACTGCTATTCCTCCTTGTGGTGGAGTGGACCTGGTTGGCATCTTTGGAAGCATGGTTGCCCCCAGCGTTGTCTGCAACCAAAATTAGTGCAGCCATAGGGGACTGACCATTCTGAACTGCCTCCGGTGGTGTGGTCCGATTAGAATGAGGTGAAGCAGTTGGTGGTGGGGGGGACATGAAAGATGCAGCTGCCATTGGTATTTTCATCCCTTCTGATGAGGTGGGTAACCATGACTGTGCCTCGCCATTGATTTTCGGAGGTCCAGCTTCACCTTCTGGCTCTGGAGAAGCCTTTCTCTTCCTTGCAGCCCGTGCCCCTAAAAACAAGCAGGGGAGATGAGATCATGTTGCAGAGAGAATGGTGTGTCCTGCATCACAGTCTAGTCAGTTGAAGCAGCTAGACCTAAGCTAAATTACGCACTAGATACAAAGGGGGAAGACCAGCTTCAAACCAAGCGAGCTCACCTTATCTGGGGTTGTGAATCAGCCCCTGCAAGGTAGACCAACACGCTGGGCCACTGCTCATACTATTATGGAACATACTGCAGTCAAATGTAACAACATTGCACCTCCCTCCTCCCACATTAGTGGCCATGAGCCAAAGAAACAATTGCACGCTTGTAATCTTCCACTGGCTGGAAACACATTCACAGTCATTCTGCACCCAATGCGTCATAATCCATTCACACAAGAGAAGAGCCCTAGATTTACTCATATACACCAAGTCTCTGGCTAACTTCCGCATGTTTGTTAATTTGCACGCTCTGAGTTCTAGCCTGGTGCAGGAGGAAGGCAAATGTTTCCCAGCCCCGCCTGCCCGAGCTCCCCTCACAAGAGAAAGTGGCCAGGAGTAGGGAGGGGAAACCTCCCCGCCAGATGCTGCTTCCGCGCACTGAGCATGCTGCCCAGCCATGCACTAGAAGGCAGGCTGAAAAAGCGCAGCTGACCCGGTTTTTCAGGGAGGAAGGGTGAGCGGTTCTCCCTCCACCAAACCCCCGTGCCCGGCCAAGCACCCGCCTTCCTCACCTGATTTGGCCGCGGCCCCGTTGCTGTCGTAGCCCAGCAGCCTCCCTCCCGCCATGCTGGGCTCCTTCTTGAACTTGCTTTCGAAGGGCGCCGCGTGGCCGCTGTGCTGCAAGGCCAGCAGGGTGTCACGCACCGTCTTGGGCTTGCCCAGCCACTCTTGCTCCGAGCCCGCAGCTGCCCCCCGGTTTTTGCTCTCCACGCCGAGCTGGTCCAGAGGGTCCGCCGAGCCTCGCGCCGCCTGCTGCTGCCCCTTGTCCTTGCCCTCCTGATCGCTGGCGCCGCCGCCGCCGCCCCACCGCTCCCCGACGACGACGAAGACACCGAGCCGGGCCGCTTGTGCCCACCCCCTTCCCCGGGCTGCTGCTGGCTCTGCTGCGCCTGGGAGACCGAGACTTGCAGCGGAGTCGGCGGCGCCCCGGAGATAGCCGCCAACGAGGCTGCTGCAGCCGCCGCCGCCCGACTGTTGATGCTGATGGAGGCGGGCAGGGAGGCTCCGTTCATGAGGGGCACCAAAGTGGGGG